AAAAATTGCTCGCCACCTTTATTTTTGATTTTTCTCGTGGACCATACAAGCTAGAACAAATTTGAAAAAAGATTTGAACAGCTGATAGAATTTGGAATTTGCTGTGCTGTTTAAAAGGGTTCTATCATAGCTCTTTAAACCAGGGCCTCTGAAAAATCAAAATCTCAGAAAACCAACTCCCAGAGTTCAGTCTAAAAATTACTCGCAAAACCTCCATTCTGTAGAGCAAACATTTTTGAAGAAAATGAGACGTCTCCGAGCTCTTTACGGCACTTTTTAGTGAATCAGCATTCAATTTACAGACCGTCCCATATCAGCAAAACTAACGGGAAAACAAGCGTAGGGCTATCCGTACATGCCTGATTTTCTCACAATTTAGCTAATTAAAATAGCTTTAATTTAAAAGGCATCCGCCTTCATTTTTTTAAGAAATGTAGGGTATTGATCTCGAACTTTAAGACAGACTATTTTTATTCTACGATATGATATGATATATGTGGATTCCGTGACACGAAATTTCCGCGAACGACATTACCGCGAAGACTTGTTTATTGGAAAAGAAGAATAAATGAGCCTGGTTTTCTATTTTGTATATCATGTGTTGAAATCTGAGTGAAGTTATGTGGTGAATAGTCATTATGTGATACAGCTGCAGATATCCAGTTTCGCATCCTGACAATATGTTTTGTGTGAAACTACTTTTGGAAATCACTCTCACACTGCCACCCCCCACCTGCCGCGAACACTGCCAGAAATATCTAAATGTGTACTATGAAAAATTCGTGCAAGAGTCGTGGTCCTGTTCGCGTTAATGTCGTTCGCGGAAATGTCGTGTCACGGGTTCTGCACTGCTATAAAAATCCTGATTATATACAAACCAATGCTGATAAATAGTAAGCTTCAGCTTATCGTGTACCGAAGAGAAAACCGGTCAAACACGATAAGCAGTGAAACTGGATATCTGTAACTGTATCACATAATGACTATTCACCACATAACTTCACTCAGATTTTCAACACATGATATACAAAACAGAAGACCAGGCTCATTTATTCTTCTTTTCCAATAAACAAGTCTTCGCGGTATTGTGTCGCGGTAATGTCGTTCGCGGAAATTTCGTGTCACGGAATCCACATGTATCATATCATATCGTAGAATAAAAATAGCCTGTCTTAAAGTCCGAGATCAATACCCTACATTTCTTATATTAAAAAAATTGAAGGAACCTTAGACAAAAAAAGTTTGTGAAATCTTATAAGAATCTTACTCAATTCTTATATAAGATCTTCCACGAAAGTGACTTGTTATAATCTCTATCTGAAAAGGAAAAATCAGTATAAATAGTGAGTTCGGTAGTAAATTCAGAGGATCTACATAGTAAACTTAGCTCTCTGTTCCCTTATCTAAATATGTCTCATTTTCTAGTCTAAAAAGGTACCTTATATAACAGACACTGTTTTACGTCTCATTTAAAATGAGAAAAAAATGTTCGTATCGTCAATCATACACGTTGCGAGAGTATATGTATACCTTTATATCACGTGGAGCAAACTATCCTTTTCTAACATTTTGAAGAAACATGCTTCCTATCGTATATCTATCTATATAAAGAAGAAAGTTTGTTTGTGCTTTATGCATTTGGTCCCTATAAGAGCCAGTGCAACCAAACTTTGCATGGCACACCCTTTCGTCAAGACGCGGTCGGCGCGACCGAGGGATGGGTGGAAGAGGCTCCCCCACAGTTCTCAGAAAACCGCAGCAAATTTTCTCTGATTTTTCAGAACATTTTGGAGAATTTTCTCCGATTTTTGGAGTACCCTCCCCCTGATTTTGCCTGTTTGAGCGTACAATTGTTTTCTTAATAACCGGAAAACGAAAGGAGATAAAGACCTGAGATTTTCGCCATTGCATACAAGAGATTCTAGGTATGAAAGTATGAACAAATTTGATTGATCAATTTGCTGATCAACCGAATTTTAGTATATTTTCATGGTCAGTAATTTTCTTTTGATCAAGTTTTCAATGAAAATGTTTCAAAACGATAACAACATTCTATAAAGAAGTTTAAATAAACGATCAAATACGCGATTTTCAGGCCGTTTTCACAGTTTCTGATCATATATAGATTCCTTACAGACAACCTAATTAATACTAATAAAAAAAATAAAAAATAAAACAGCTGTAACATTTTTGAAAATGAAAATAACATCTGCATTTTTGTTTAAAAATGAAAGAAAAATAAACTTGAATTGATGGATCATGTCTTTATATCAACAGAACGAGTTTCACTTTTTGAAGATCATACTCAGAAAAAAATACATGATTTATTCCCATGACGCATCATTTTACGATCCTCAGAAAATCGTCAAGAGTCTCTTCTGTAGCTCTAGGTTCTTCGAAAGTGTCCAACAACAATAATTCTTCTCACAAGATATGCTATTTTGCAAAAACTGAACAAGCGCGCTTTTCGCACTGTACCTACTGTTTACAACCTAAGTTTGCAGCAACGAAGCCTTTGATAGATGCCAAGTGAAGAGAAAAAGACGTGAAAGAAGAAAGTTAGCATTTTTCTTTTCCTGCGATCTAGTTCATTACTTTTCCAAAAGCCCATCATCGGCACATATTTTAAATTAGAAGGTGATGAACATAGTCATTGTTAGCAAAAATATGTTACTATGAAGTATGACTGATACGAAAGAAAATGGGATTAAACTTTCGCTCTGATTTATCTCACTCCTAATTTAATTGCAGTGAAATTTTCTTAAACTCATCGAATCCAGAAAACGTTGTGAACCAAGTGAACCAAATTAAAATCTCTTGTTTTAAAAACAAGACCATTTATTGTTCGAAAAATAAATTTTGTATTATGTAGGTAACTAATGTTAAAAACCTCGTATACAGCTAATAAAGTAGCAATGGCAACACACTGACTACCGGTTGTAATTAATTTTACTCCTTCCACGATAACAGTAACAATAAGTTACTCCACTGAATATATAAATAGAGGTAAGAGATTCTTCGTTCGACTAGAAAAGTCCGCTTGAAAATTTTCTTCACTTTTAAAATGGCGATCTTACTTCTACTGACAAAGTCTATCCAGTTAGACTATATAATTGTTCTTCTTGAAAAAAATTCTGCTTAGAGAACTATTTTCGTATAGAGAATGATGATATTAATTGTATTAAGTATTATTTTGCTTTCATCAGGTACATGCCATTAGGAGCCATTGCACGATAGAGACGACCAACCCTGCTCAATTGACATCACAGATTTCAATGAAACTTTGCCCATATGTAGTCCGAAGGTTTATATGAATATGCCAAAAATTTTAGCCTCTAAAACTGTTCCCTTGCTGAGATATTGAAATCACAATAGAGGCACCCTGAAGTATAAAATGATGATAATTACGTAGTGCAGTATTTATGCATTCTATATTTCGCCATTTTTCAACAACAATGTTTTCTGTCATGAAATTTTGTACATATATACTACTCTGGGTACTCTACATACTGGCACACTCAAAACCATTCTTGGTCATGCTAAGTGGTATAGTAGCATTTCACAAGGTCCTATATACCCTCCGACCTTGTGATCAGGCTTTCTACCCCTTATGAGGAACTTAACGTGGGAGAGATCCCATGGATTACCCCCGCTTTTTCTCACCCTCTGATTCTCTATCTATCCATGTAAATTTCATTCAAAAACGTTTAGTTTTGATCGAATAATCGTCGTTGTAAAAACGATAACATGCATTTTTTCCGATTCTTCACTTCATAGTCGACCGTTGGTCTTGCTCGTACAAAATGTTCTTTATGTCAAGACGTCGATGTGGGCTAAGTTTGACGAAGAAATTTCGTCATCTTCACTGGATTTAATCTTCGAATCTATCGATTTCACCGTCATTTTTCATGTAAATATGAAAATTTTTTTAAAATTCAATTCGATGATTTTTTCGTTTCGAATATTCGGAACAACTATTTCATCATTCACCATGGCCCCGAGAACCCATCTGAAAAAGAAAAATGGGAAAAAACTCAAAAACATTGTTTTCATGTTTACATGGAAAATAGCTGGAAATTCCATACATTCGATGATTCAATTCAGTGAAGATGACGAGATTTCTTCGTCAAACTTAGCCCACACCGACGTCTTGACATAAGGAACATTTGTTCTAGCAAGACCAACCGCCGACTTTGAACTTCGAGTAGCGCTACCAACTTTTTTTCTTCAACCCATTGTTTTTAGAAGGAGAAGAGAGAGAGGAGTAAAGAAGAAAGAGTTCGAATATCAGGAGAATACTTTGATTCAATGAAAAAATCTAATAGAAGAAAGATTTGTTTTGAAGATTTTCTTATTCATTCGGTATTGAAACTGATTCTCGTTTGTTCATATCTATTTTGTTTGACGATTTTTTTTCCAAATAAATCTCTTTTCATGACAAATCATCTTCAACTGATGTTTATTGATCATCAAGAATGATAGATTAGCGATGTTCAAAGCAAAAAAATAGATCCAAGTGATTCGATGATGATGATGATGGAACGATGACAGGGCAGGATTCAATAGGACTACATTATACTTCTATTGACTAGCTATTTAGCTATTTTTTTTCATGTACTTCCATTTTTGGTAAATAAAGTTCAGGTTCAAGTTCAAGTTCAAGTTCAACGATGAAGATGATTCTATTGCATCGATGTCTGCCTAACATGTTGTCAACAAATCTTCTGTATCATTAGTGAAATATTGCACACTATCCACCAGTTTTGTTTCGGCTGGTCCGAAAAATAACCACTTGTCGTCTATTTTGTTTTGTGCAGAACATCCAAATGCACCGGCACATTCTTGTTTAAATCGTAAATCACTTCGACATCACCGGTAGTTTTTTGTCGATTTTTAAATCTGATTTCGTTTGATCTGTTTCTCTCTGGAAGTCCATTGGCATCCACATGCTTCAAAAGAAAAAAGAAAATAATAGAATTTGTTTCGATGACTATCTCGCATCATGTCATTACCCATTCTAGATGCATTATTTCCACATTCGTCAGTTTGACTTTGATCTCTCCCGTTTTGCCTGGTGTGAATTGGTTGTTTGCCCTATGTAAGAGGAAAACTTTCTCAACGATGATAGTCATTCCAGGAGAATTCACTTACCGCGCTTGACTAATTGCCGTGTCAAATTCTTCTGGTGTCATCAGAAGAACCGTATTTGTCGACCTAGTGTTTTCTGTCATACCCAGTTCCACCTTCCCCAGTTCTTTATCTAGAACTTTTGCAGTTTTCTCTTCCAGGTCCTTCTTTGTGACACCACCATGTTTGGATTTTTCCGTGATGAGATGTTTTTGCTTGAATGACAGTTTGAGCGCGTCTACTGCCATTTGTTGTCTGCGGTATTTTTTCTGTTGTAGACCACCAGTGAATAAAGCTTCACTACAATTTTGTTCCAAATATCGCACATCATGCATTGTTGCCGCTAATCGATCTTGATTGGCTTTCATGGCTGCTGCTGTGTCTTGTCTCAACTGTTCACCGGTGCAACCAAGGGATTGACCAATAGTATCGAACAAACAGTTAAATCTTCAACAGACGGTCAAATACAGTATAAAACTCGAGTTCTGATTAAAATGACTTACTCGCCAGTGTTTTGAGTATTTTCGCCGTTTTTAATTGTCCAATGGCCAAGACTATTCGATTCACTCGGCGGATGGTAAACGATGTCAATGGCATCTTGCGATGTGTCACTACCGATGACATGTTCCACGCGACCGTCTTTACCATAGATCCGAACTCGTCTGTTCTTCATTTGACAAATGAATCCGATATGATGAATTCTTCCTGGTGCACCATTGCGAACAGCATCTATTTCTTGTTCAGCTAAAGCTCGTGTTTCGGCATTGACTTTCACCTTGATTTCTTCTTCCGTAAGACTTTGAAAGTAAGCCACCGTTTGTTTGTGATGGAATGAATTCAGTTCATCGTTGACCTTTTCGTCGATACCCGAGAAGATATTATTGACTGTCGATGCAACTAATGGTGGAACTAACATACCTTGAATCCATTGACAGATTATTTTACTCATCTGCTTCGTTATGCCACTACAGAACTCTTCCACTGTCAAAGGTAATTCTTTGTTTTCTGCTTGTCGATCACCAGTTGTGTCACCATTGGATTCGTTCGCGGCATTAAGAATGCTCTGAACTTCTTTTGACTCGGCTAATTTATTCATTTCCGTGTCGAATGAAATTGCTATCGAACCAAGTTTCTTAATAATCGGGACTAATGTCAGCTGAACGGATGCCATCTGAGCTGCCGCTTGACCAATATTCGATGACGTTTTGTTCAAGAGAATACGCCCAGCTGTTTGACATAACTCTCGAAAAGGTTCTTCGTGAAGATGACGTAAAACTTTCTGCTTTAATTTGTCGGCGAAGAACCGATTTCGTTTTTTTCGATCACAATCCATCAAGCGTTGTAAATCTGCATTATGCTTGTATCGGAGTACAATTAGATCAGCGAGAGCTGTTTGAATGAGATTCTCGACTATCGGTACGATAGTTTCTGCCAGAGCGTAGTTGATCAATGAAAGTGTTACCTCAACGGCGGCACGTTTGACAACCTCCACAGCGACTTTTTTTCCACCAATTTTCAATCCTTCTTGTGCCGCTTTGGTCCATAGTTCTTGCATGCCATATTTTACTGCAGCTTTCGCTGTTTTTAAGCCACTTTTTACAGTTCTCGCCGCCGCTTTCAAAGCGCTGAAGCCTGCACAAGCGATGGTCACTGCTGAACTGATAGCCTTTTGCATACCCCATTGTTTCCAACTGAAATTTCGATTAATGATACCAGCTTTCACGCACGTAATTAGATCGCTGATTCCTTCTTGTAAAACGGACAGACCAAGTCCAGTGCCTGTACCGAAACTGAAGACAGCGAGAGAGGCACCAGCAATCATTTGGGCGACGCCGATGGCTCCAACGCTAATCACTGACCACCAGTCGATGGGTTTGCGTTCATCGAAGATGATCGTACCAATGAAACCATTTAATTCCATTTCATCGATTTCTTTCTCGTATAAATCTTTTTCCTCGTTGTCTGGCAATGATTCCATCAGTGTCTTGTACTGAATTTTAATTTCCGTCTTATTTCGAGCGATCTTTCGTAAAATACAGCTTCAATTTCACTACGATGATCCGTGAGATGTTGAAGATATTGCTGGAGTTCCTGGCGTTCATCCGCGTCGATTTTTGTGTTCGCCAACTGTTTCTTCAAATCATCGATTTCTTCCTCGACAGGTCGTCCGACGGCCGCATTGATTGAATTCGTTAAAGTGCCATAAAGAGTCTTCAAGTGGACGATATATTCATACAACGGTGATTTTTCGCTTGCCACAGGAAATAACATCAGACCCGGATCGAAGATATCTTTGATAATTCGTCTGGCTTGTTCGAAATTGCTAATGGCATTTTCCAATTGATACACTTCACGGGTTTCCTTGTATTTCAATGTGCGTGCATAACCACGACTGAAATAAGCACTGGCAGCACAATAAGGATCCATTTTAATCGCTCTGTGCAAATACTGAATTGCATCATCGAGATCTGTGTTTTTTTTAAGAAGTACATTAGCCATTTTCACATAATAGATCGGATTTTCGATTAATGAATTTTTAGTGTCATCTTGGCATTTAGATAGAAATACATTGAAGGATTGTTGTAATGCACCATCCGTTTCAGAGCCAGACTTAATCAACCAGAAACCAAACTTTTCTTGTAATGCATCTCGGGCAATGTCTTGGACATTGGCAGAGAAACATGTCACGATATCATCTTGTGCAGCACTGAATCGTTGAAAGATCTGATCTTTCTCAATCGTCTTCTTCGCATCTACGATGGCACCTTCCATATGCGTCAATTCGATTCGATTCCGATGTTCACGCATTGATCGCAGCAGGTCTTCTTCAGTCAAGATGTTTTCAGGTGGGTCAGATAGATGAATTACGAACTGACTCGTTCCTTTGTTGCCACAACGAGACGTTCGTCCTAGATTTTGTCGTTCCACTCGATCATTATCGGGCAGAAAAGTAATACACACGTGGAGACCACCATTCTGTTCGACTTCGTCGCTAACGAGAAGATCTGTTCCACGACCAGCGATATTCGTTGCCACAAGAGCATAGCCAGCTTCCAGTGTCTCTCGAGCGACTTTTTTCTCATCATTTTCAGTGTACATTTTCACTCGACTAGGATTGTTGGCAGAAAGAAGACTAGCAATAGTTCGAGCTTGTTCGATGTATTTCGTAATGACCAATACAGCACGTTTCTGTTGCAGTTTCTCTACGCAACTGTTGACGATGCACTGGAACCAATCGGATTCTTCTGATAGAAATCGTGGTTGTAATTCAAGATGTCTACGTTCAAGAAATGGTGGAATAATGATGCACTCAGCAGAATAAACTTTATGAAAGACCCGTTTCGTGGCTTCGCCACCGACTGTACCGGTAAGTCCGATCAGATTCTTTGAATATCGGCAGAAAAAAGTGACGTGAGAAATAAAGTTCGTGGTGATATGTTCAGGTTCTAGGGAACAGCCATGTTTCATTTCAAGAAAGCAATGCAATCCGTCTGACCAGCGCATATTGTCGTGAAGAACACCAGTATTGTTTACATCAACATAGATAATTTTATTGTCTTTCAATAAGTATTCACGACCTTCTTGCATTTCAAATTTGGCATACACAGCATTTCGTATCCAAAGTGTCCGTTTCTTTAACGTAAATGCATGTAAATATTTCGGAATGATTAATTTCGTTGCGGATGTGTCCGGTTTAGTTTCCTGCAAATGAATATAATCGTCGAGCAGTGGTAAAATCAATTTCACGGAGAAGTCATATATCGATTCGTTGAGTAGTTCGGGCACTTTATTATCTTCTTGATCGTCGCATAACTTGTACCATTTATCATCTTTTTTCACTACCATCTTTGCCACGTTTAAGATTTGACTCCAGATAACGGCTTTAATGGGTAGCAGATGAAACACCGAAGGAACGGAACTAGTCAGACGTAGGATGCGTTGTCGACCATCGATCATCATGTTATCGACTTCATCGACGAGAGCGAATTCACATCGTCGATCACAACGGACTCCACTTTTGAGGAATTCATCTCGTAAAATATCACCTTCAAAATCATCTGCCGATCCATAGATAACATCACATTCATACACCGGTTGGAAACGACCTAATTTGGCAAAGATTACGTCGGGCAAATCACCATTTCGACGTCGTCGACCGTAGGTGTTATTGAGTGGAGACATGTGAGCATTACACCCGACTTTTAGATTGAAAAAATTGTAGAAATATTCCAGTTCAGTCGCTTGGAGTTGAGCCAGTTCTGTGGAACTGGTAATCACGTCGACTTTGACTCCTTGTAAACATTTAATCACTGCTAGAATGGCGACAATACGCGTTTTGCCTTCGCCCGTATTGATCTGCAGAATTCCTGCCGTGGTCGTCGATGGGTCTAAAGCTAATAAGATCGATAGTTTTTGTACAATACGTGTTTCATGACCGAAGTGAAGATCAGAAGCACGAATGACAAATGCTATTTGATTGTAAAGGTCTCTCGTTTGAATAAACTCTAATTGAGCTTTCAATTCTTCTCGATTCATCGACTGGAAACCATCCAGATTCCTCGATAATTTAAAATAATCTTGTGATAGCTGTTGTCGTTTCGTTTTTTGCTGTTGACCATTCGAATAAGTTTCGTTGACAATGGTATCAATAACTTCGTTGAGCTCGAGCTCTCTGCTACCCGCGGAAAACGACATTCGTATTGCGTGTTCATGTACTCTCCGAGACCATTTCGAAGACCGGCAAGACCGATCGACGAAATTAAAAACAGTTCGATCATAACGAAGTTCATAATAAACGATGATGTTCAGTACACTATTCATCGGCGTGAGATCATTTGCATCGTGCACTGCATTCAGTAAACCGCACATCTCATTCAATGACCACGAGAGTGATAACATTTTCTGAATGCAATAACGCATGTTGGACCGTATACTGGCTGGAAAGGCAGCACCGTGAATTTTGTTGTGCACGAGTTGTAGTGATATTGAGATAAATAGTTGCTCAACGCACTTCTCCAGTGATTTGCCAGCATGATCGCTAAGAAACGATTCTAATGCTCCAACGTCGAGATAATTCATTTCGTCGATGAAGTAATCGAACAATTGGCAAAGTTGCTCGATTTCGTACCGCTGTGGAATCGAACGAACGAAATCTTGGACGATTTCAATGTTACATTGAAGGAAATGTTTGGGGTGATCGTGATTCTTCTTTAATTTTGTCATGACACGATTATCTTTCGATGCCGGAATCATTGTTGTTATCCAGGAATCTTGCAATTCGTTCACAATCATTGAAAACGTCCATGATGCATCTTGACATCGTTTAAGAAAAAGTGCGAGAGTGGATGACCCACTTTGCAAATAAGTAAGAAAGTCAAGCAACTGACGAATAGAACAAAGTTCAGAATGACGATCTTGTACGAAGATCAATCGATCAACGAGATCCATCGTGTTGTATTGCTGTTGTCTTTGACAGATGCTGCGTAATTTAGTCTGCAGCTTATTCGTATGTAAGTATGTGATACAGTCATCGTTACAATTGTCGATCAAACACCACAAAGCCAAATCTTGTTTCCATTGTCTGGAGTTTGTGATCATAGGTTGGAGTTTTAACATTAATTCTTGATCAGATACGATCGTCGTGAGATGACTGTGAAGATGAGGATAAGTCGTCGAAAATGTTGCGTCTTTCTCAGCGATCAATTCAAGAAGATCTAAACATGGAATGGATGCAGACGAACAGGGACCGTCACCAATCTTACTTTTTGTGCTTAATTGCTCCATGAGCCAGTCTGGTAGTTGAATCTGATCTTTCGGTCTGAAACAGTTCATAATAAAGTAGGACAGTCTAGTAGTGAGCTAAGACGAAAGGCTTCTCACTGATCAGTATGTCTATGATGTTTCGTCTTAACTTAAAATCGAATGTGGCTATGAACTCATTATAATTCTCATTTCTTCTCACAACAGAGCGCTTTGAATTGTATTTCGAGATGGTCTAATCGTTCGATTACCGTACACGAACGTCGGTTTACGACTTACGTGAGTTCGTGTACGATAATCGAACGATACACCGTAAATACAACGTTTTTTCATCGTATACTGCCGTTTACGGACCGTTTTGTTCGACCTGGGATCGCGGTTCGAAACTCAACTAAATCCTGAACTCAACTGCAACATTTACGTGATTACATGTAATATTCTTTCGCTCTGTATTATTAGTCATGTTTTATGGACATGTTTTATGGGTTTTTTTCTTACTCATCTATCGTATTGTTGTGATGAATAATCTCTTTCCTTTCGTCAGAATGTCATTTGTTGGATTATTCCTATTCTTTCTTCTTCTCAAAATTTTCTAGCGATTATGTTTTTCTTACCGTTATCGTTCGATATATAAAGCCGTTCGGTTGCGACAGAAGAAGAGCACAGTAAAAAAATAAGTGTAGCATAATACACCCTCTCAAAGGATTCATCAGCATTATAAACTCTTTCATATACCATTTTTGGACTTAAAATACCGTTTTAGCTCATCAACCCTCGAAAGGCTTTTTTATACATTGCAAAATCATAAATCAAAAGGGTTTATGATTTTTCAACTTAAAAAAAAGCCTTTCGAGGGG